TGTTTGATGTGAGCGTGCCGTGGTGTTCTTTATGTTCGTGCTGTGATGGCTAGTAGTTGTGATATGTGTGACTCCCTTTTTGGGTGTCTTGTGTTTTAAATGGCCGTATCTCTGGTTATACCTGGTCGTTTTGTACGATTTTTGTTTCCTTGTGCGTGATTCTTCGCGCTTGTACTCCTCGGCATGATAGGAGCCGATGAAAATGTCTTGTTCTCTTGTGTTATTTTGCGTGCCGTCGTGATTTTGATGTCGGGGTTGCACAGCTTTGCTTTCGGCTCTGAGGTTCAGCTCTGAGGTTCAAACACCTAATTTATTATTAAGGTCACCTCTCAAGCACGGTAAGATCCAGTCAACCATGATGTCGTTGACGTAGATGAGGTAGTCCAGGTCGGAAGAAATGTCGCCATAAATATCCTGGATACCAGCGGCGGTGCAGCCCTCTAGATCGAGGGTGGCCATATGCAGCAAGGGCTCGGCTTGGAGAAGAACAAGGGCCGAGTTGACATTTTCTTTGAGGGAGTCAAGACCTTTCTTGCTGTCACCGCGATAGGACTCCCACTTGGTTGAGGTTTGGTAGGCTCGGTGCCAAACGTGGTGGGGTGGTTGAGTCCGAGAGCCGGCCCGTGGTGGCGCATTGGTGCCAAAGGCAACACCAAATTGGGATGCATCCACTGCCTCCATGGGAGAGCGCCTGGGCGTGGTGGCTCTATCGTCATGTGCGGGAGAGCTCAAATAGCCATGACGATAACGAGAGTCGTGAGAGAGCGATTCGTGCACGGGCTCTCTCGGGAGCCGGGGTAGAGGGCGATTGGAGGCCAGGCCAAACGCCACTTCGCCATCGCGGGCAGACGGGTGCGCCGCGGGCGAGGGAGCGAGCAAAGAAAAATCGGTCGCAAGGTCACGAGAAGGCGACTGGGTCTCGTGCGTGCGTAACGAACCATGTGAGCGGCCCCTGTCCGGGATGATCCGAAGGGCAGCGTTTATCTCGCGTTCAAGCTCGGCAATCTGCGATTGGAGCTGATGTTGGGAGCCTAGAGAGTGCACTAGGGCTTGCAGGGTCCTGTGGACCTGGGCCACGGCGGCGTCATTGTTGCGGGGGGATCCAGGGCCCGCGGCGGCGGCTGATGTGGCGGCGGCGCTTGCGGCATGGCGAGAAGCGCTCGCGGTAGCCTCGACGGGAGCGGCTCCTGTCGAAGGCGTGGCCGGGTGCGACCCGGTGGCGGCCATTTTCGGTCTTTCCTCTTCCTGCGAGCTGCTCAAGCTCGCCCGGCATCCACTGATGCAGCGCAGCCGCTACCCATCCAACGCCACCGAGACCAAGCTGTAGCTGCCACCCTGAGCCAGCTGTATTGGTCTGCCGTCCACTCGGACTATACCGCTGAAGAGCGAGAGATGTGCTGGGCTTTGATTTTGGCCTTGCCTAGCATGTTGTTGTCTGCTCCCTCGACCGCACTGTCTACGATTGACCTGCGCAATATGTTTCACGATCGTCTCCGTTGGCTTGTGACGGGGCAACTAGGTCGGGTCGTGGACGCCATGCGCAAGGCAGTCGCACGCAAGCAGAGCCGTCGAGGACAGCTGAACGCCGGCGCGGGCACCCACCCAAACGACGCAGTCGACCAGAGCCTCAGGTCGCTCGTCCGCGACCCGGACCTGGCGGACGAAGCCTGGGCAAACCACGTCACGAACCGTCTGAACCGAGGTCAGATTGCCAAAGCATTTGATGCCGACAAGGCTCGTGCCGTGATTGGTAATTCTGAGGTTCAGGCCGTGCGCGACCTCCTGGTACCGCCCGGGCTGACCCCGTACATTGCTTCAACACCCGCCTCCACGTCTACACTGGCACCAGCCACGGCTGTGAGCTCCCCAACCGTGTCCTTCACCAAGGGTGAGCTCCCCAAGGCGTTGGCGGCCACCAAGGGTGTCACCGACCCCTATGGTTGGTCTGGTGAGCTTCTTGCCTCCATTTACCCCATCAAGGAGCACTTCAGTCAAGTCTTGGGCCCACGCCAGGGTTCTACCAGCGACCCGACTGCTCCTTCTGATGGAGACGCGCCTCAGGGCCCCACCACCGCCACTGGAGGTCCTCAGGTTGCCTTGAACAAGATCTTTCACCACATTGCCAACAACACCGTGCCCGAGTCGATTCGACATGCCCTTTGCTCCATCCTACACTATCCTGGAGAAGGCCAATGGCAAGTTTCGACCCGTGGGCACGGATTCCATCTTCAACAAGGTTGTCAACCGCGCTCTGCTCGAGCAGCAGCAGCCCCATATTGCCCACTTGCTACAGGCCAGTCCAGAGCTGGCCGTCGGAGTCAAGGACGGCATTTCAGCAGCGGTTGGCATGGCCTTTGGTGAGCTTCAAGCCTGTGAGTCTACCCCGGGCTGGACCATGCTCTCCCTCGATTTCAAGAGTGCCTTCAACTACACCGACCGAGCACGGCTGCACGAGATTGTGGCCGACAAGGTTCCTGGCCTCTTGCGCGCCTTTGAACGACACTATGCTCGACCCACTACCCACTGCATTGTCGACAAGTTCTTCAAGGTGATTGACATTGATGTTGGCCAAGGCATTGTGCAGGGCAACGAGCTATCGCCCTTCTTCTTTGCCCTGTACTCCTGTGAGGTCCTGGGTCTCCTCGACGCCACCACTGACTACCGCTGTAAAGTCATCAAGTATCTCGACGACATTGTACTGATGGGCCCCGCGGAGGACGTGGCGGCCGACGTCGAGATTGTCAAGGCTCGTGCAGAGTCTGCTGGCCTTCATCTGCAGCCCAGTAAGAGCCGCTTCTACATGCCTCGCCACCATTCGGCTTCCATCACTGCTATCAAGTCTGTCTTGCCAGATGCCGTGCGCGAGACGGCCAACACGGGCATGACGGTCTTGGGAACGCCGATTGGCCGTCGCGATTGGATGAAGAAGCAGCTGAACGACAAGGCAAAGCACATTGCTGGCAAGCTCAATGACATGCTGACGACCGGTGTCTCGCTTCAGGCCCTCCTCACGGCCATGCAGTACGTGCCTAGCCTCATCAACCACCTCTACACGCTGCCCCCAAGTCTGACGTCGGGCTTGTCCGAGCTCTTGAACCGTGCTTGCAAGGACACCTTTGTCAAAGCCTTTTTTGCCAAGGTAAACCTGTCTGCATCAGCTGGAGCTGAAGGTCATGACGTTATATTAAAGGTGTATGTCCAGTACAGTGTAATGTGTGTGGACAAGGCGATTGTCACAAAGGTATCCAACCAATCGAAGTGCATACGAGAACATGGATTGAAGCAAGGCGAAGGAACAAGACAGAACAAGACAGAAGGAGGGAAGTGGAACGACCGAGGTCAAGAAGGAAAATGGTACCGATCCAGGGAGATCGCTCCCATTTATAGCAGGTGGAAACACACACACACAGTGGAGACAGAGAATGGACTATCACACTGAAGACAGGTGGAAGCGATATCAGCAATCTGTTGGGACCAACAGATGCCACAACAAGATGATACAGCAAGATGGTACAGCAAGATGTTACACAACAAGGTGGGACAACATCAAGTACCAAAGGACACACTACGTGGTAAAGTATACCGTCTCAGATTGTGCCTCTAATACTCCCCTTCAAGCTGAGAACGGAAGAGCATGTCACACAAACGACGATGGCTCGGTCCATTGAGCAGCTTGGTGAGAAGGTCAGCAACCATGTCCTTGGTCCCGCAGAACCAGACATCGAGCTGGTTGCGTTCATACCTCTCTTGCACAAAGCGATACTTGACAGCAATGTGCTTGGAGCCCGGAGAGTTGGCTCCGTTTGTAATCATGTGGATCGCCGCCTGGTTGTCACTGAACAACACGGGCTTGAAGACGGCGTGTGAGAGTTCACGAACCAAATGATCAACAAACATAGTCTCGCTGGCCGCAGAGTAAGCAGCCATAAACTCGGCTTCAGTCAGTAGACGTGGCAGTGACCGTCTGTAGCTTGGAGCGCCACTGCACGGGTCAGCGAGGTAGACAATGCAGCCTCNACGAGACTTACGACCAGTTTCTTGAGCAAAGCTCGCATCAGTGTAGGTCGTGAGGCGAAGGTGCTGGCCAGACCGATAAGTCAGACCAAGGTCCTTCGTGCCCTTGACATAGCGGAGCAGGTGCTTGGCAGCGTTCCAATGCTCTACGGTGTAGCAGCTGGCAAAGGAGCCCAGCATGCTGACAGCGGTGGCAATGTCAGGGCGAGTGTGAGTCATGAGGTAAATCAGTTTGCCCAAGAGCTCACGGTAAGGGATCGACGGGTCAATGTCGGTACTCCCCTTGTCGAGGCAAATGCCTGGACTCAATAAATTTTTGTGTAAAGTCCTTTGTATGATGTCTTTGTCTTCTGTGGTCGGTTGTTTTCTCAATCCGACGTTGTGTCTCGTTGGATGTGAGTGTGCCGTGGTGTTCTTTGTTTTTGTGCTGTGATGGCTTGTAGTTGTGATGTGTGTGACTGCCTTTTTGTGTGACTGCCTTTTTGTGTGACTTGTGGTTAAAATGGCCGTATCTCTGGTTTTACTTGGTCGTTTTGTACGATTTTTGTTCCTATGTGCGTGATTCTTCGCGCTTGTACTTCTTGGCATGATAGAAGCCGATGATTTTATTTATGAATGTAGCTTGTTCTCTTGTGTTGTTTTGCGTGCCGTCGTGATTTTGTTGTCGGGGTTGCACAGCTTTGCTTTCAGCTCTGAGGTTCAAACACCTAATTTATTTATTACTGGACTCAATGGCATCGGCGCGGGCTTGGCATCGGTCATGTGAAAGGTAGCCAAGATATCGTCGATGTACTTTGTCTGCTTGATGGTCATGGTATCACCGTTGCGTGCAAACTCCATGCCCAGATAAGTCTCAATCTCACCAAGGTCGGTCATGGTAAACTTTTGCTGAAGGAGAGCCTTGGTCTGATCGAGGATGAGGCTGCTACTGGCAAACATCAGGAGGTCATCGACATAGACGGCGATCCAAATGGCATCGCGGCCATTGTTGAGAAAATAAACACATCGGTCCTTGAGGCAGCGAGTAAACTTCATCTCCGTGCACAGCTGGTGCATCTGGTACCAAGCACGTGAAGCTTGCTTGAGGCCATAGACAGCGCGGTTGAGCTTGCCATGAGTGTAGCCATTGAAGTACTGCTCGAGACCTTTGGGCACGGTGATGTAAATGTCCTCCTCGAGTGGAGCGTTGAGAAAGGCAGTCTTGACATCCATCTGGTGGATGATGAAGCCATAGTCGACAGCAAGAGCAATGAGGGTACGAATGGTCAATAATATAAATTAGGTGTTTGAACCTCAGAGCTGAAAGCAAAGCTGTGCAACCCCGACATCAAAATCACTACGTCACGCAAAACAACACAAGAGAACAAGTTACATTCACTGGCTTTTATCATGCCAAGAAGTACAAGCGCGAAGAATCACGCACATAGAAACAAAAATCGTACAAAACGACCAAGTATAACCAGAGATACGGCCATTTTAAACACAAGACACCCAAAAAGGGAGTCACACATTTCGCAACTACAAGCCATCACAGCACGAACATAAAGAACACCACGGCACGCTCACATCCAACAAGAGACAGTGTCGGGTTGAAAAGAAAACCGATCACAGAAGAAAAAGACATCATACAAAGGACTTTACACAAAAATTCAGCAAAAATACCACACAGATACAGCAGAAATCAAAGCAAAATCAGACAAAAATACAAGTCAAGCCATCAAAAGACCACAACGAAAACCACCAAGGGAGCGACAGGTGCACACAGGGATCCCCACAGAGGGACCCCCGAGACGGTGCCTACCTACGACGAGCGCAGGCAGACACCGCCAAAGTGGCGCTGGATGTGGTCACCATATTGGCAGTGGGCGAGTAGGTTTCGTTGTAGTCGATGCCATAGAGTTGCTTGAAACCTTTGGCCACAATGCGTGCCTTGAAGGTGCCGTCATGCTTGCGAGCAAAGACAACCCGAAGGTCGAGGGGCTTGATGTGAGCTGGAAGGTGATCTAGTCCTTGGATGACGTTGTGCTCGTGAAAGGAATCAGCCTCCTTCTCAAGGGCACGGGTCCAGCTGTCAGCATCAGGACTGTGCATGGCTTCCTTGACGGTAGCAGGCAGCTTGTTGTAGTTGTCGGTGGTGGTGATGTTGGC